TTTTTTTTACTTTATTTACGGAATTCTCCCTTTTTTATAAGGAGTATATAAAATTATAGTTTAACTCAACAATATTTAAATGAGTGCGACTAAAAAACAAATGTTATTCCTGAAAAGCAAAAGGTAGATGCTAGATACACATGGGCGCAGACCAAGAATCAGTGCAATAAAATGGGACTGAGACAATAGTCACTCCTCCCACTATCTCTGTCACACTCTCCCTTGCAACCTCCCTGCCAATAACAATGGAGAACAGCCCCCAGCAGGCGGCAACGGCGGCGGCCCAGATAGCCGGTGGGTACCCTCCGGCGCAGCCGGCGTACCATCATTTCTTCCAGGAACAGCAAGAGCAGCTGCAATTGTTCTGGAACTTCCAACGGCATGTGATTGAGCAGACGAACGACTTCAAGAACCACCAGCTCCCTCTCGCCCGCATCAAGAAGATCATGAAGGCGGACGAGGACGTCCGAATGATCTCCGCCGAGGCACCCATCCTCTTCGCCAAGGCCTGTGAGCTCTTCATTCTCGAGCTCACCATCCGCTCGTGGACCCACGCCGAGGAGAACAAGCGCCGCACCCTCCAGAAGAACGACATCGCCGCCGCCATCACCCGCACGGACATATTCGATTTCCTCGTCGACATTGTCCCCAGAGACGAGATCAAGGACGAGGCGGCTTCCCTCGTCGGCCCTGTCTCCGCCGGAATTGTTCCCGGCTCCACGGCTAACGGAGTTCCTTACTATTACCCTCCAATGGCCCAGCCCACGCCCACCGGTGTCATGATTGGGAGGCCCGCCATGGATCCGTCGATGTACGTGCAGCCACCACCTCCGCCGTCGCAGGCATGGCAGTCTGTCTGGCAGCCTCAGGAAGACAATTCCTATGCCAGTGGGGGGAGCAGTGGCCATGGCAACCTTGACGGCCAAGGGTAAGTCTCTGCCTCAGCAAGATCCAAAATCTAGGGTTTCTGAACCAAATTCCCCCCTAAGTATGCTTCCTTTTCAGACTTTCGAGGATATATTTCTCACTCTCTCCATTTCTTCCTCATTTTGTCATTTGGTTGTGCGCCAATTTTTAGTTAGATAGCTACCTGAATGGAAAGATCAAAAAAAGTTTAAAATGAAGTAGGAAGAACTTCAGGGGATGGACAAAAAGGAGGTAGGAAGAACTTGTAAGGGCGAGGGAGTAAAAGCTTGTAACTTTAAGCTTTTCTCATCTCGCGTTTCTCTTCTTTTTTCAGTGAAGAAAAATGGTAAATTTGAAATCTGCTTTCTTGTTCCCTGTAAAATTCCCTGTTTGCATGTTGGTGATGAATGGACATTACTTCGTATATACTTGTTTTGGAGTATGACTGAATGAGAGTTTTTGTGATTTAGTGTAGAATGTGCTTGAATGTGTGTATGTTGAGGTTCTTGTGGTTTTCTATAGATGAGATAACCTTAATGGTACTGTTGGACATGATCAAGCATACTCCCTAAAACATTATATTAACAATTTCTAGATTTTTGATCTGGGCATTCTGTGTTTGGCTAGTTTTGGCTAGCACGGAAACTCTCGCGAAAGAGTATGTTTCCCATTTCGGAAACTTCCAGATACTCTTTGGAAACTCTCCAAATAAGCGTTTTTTGAGCAAAAGTTGGTGTTTCCTGTTTCCTCATGATTTTCGCGTTTCTGTGCAACATAGACAGCCCACATTCTTAAATACAGTGTGCTATTTTGTCAAACCAACAATCCAAAAAGATCATTTATGTTGATCTTAAGTTTGAAAGGTGTGAAGTGGAATAGATTTTCAAAGTTTTCAAAACTGGCCTTTCTAATGAATACCAGTTTCGAAGAAACTTCAGCTTTTTTCTCTGTAAAAGCCATTGGTGAAATACTTATGTTTGCCAAACCCATTGAGAAGAGGGAATGTCAAAGTTAAAGATAAAGGGGATGCTTAGTTTATGCGAATGGCAATGAAATATGGTTAATACCTTTAGAAACTCTAATATCTTTTCTTCAGATGAGCATCAAGACTTTAAAGGTCTATCGAGTATCTCATATGTTATTTAGTCATCGTATTGTTGTTCCATGGATGCTTGTTCCCTTTCACCATTAGAATGCTTGTTTTCTTCACACAAAATAACTTTGTTAGCAAACAGTGCTTCTTATTTTATACCTGCCTTGAGGCAATCCAAGTTAAGCTTCATTGCTCCTTTCTTTCCTAGTCTTGACACTTTGATGCTTAACAAACAGCTATAAAATCTTGTCTCTGATTGTTTTTCAAATCTTTCTCCTGCAGCTAAAAGTCATCCTTCCCGGATGCTTGGTGTTTGGAGGATTGATACAGCAGACAGCTTCTGAATCGCATATATATTTATATATATATGCCACCTTACAACCACCTTCTGTGGGTACTTGCCTTAACTGCCGTATGTAGGAAGAAGAAGAGAACTGGATTTTGTTTAGTTGATCTTTGTTTTGAGAAAACAATAATGATCATCCTGGGGGCATGGATTCTGTGACATTCTTTGGCTCAATTATCTTGTGTTTCCTCTCCCTCGTATAATTGTGGATAATTTTTATCATGGTATTATTATTGTGATTATTATTATGGTTACGATTATTATTATTGGAAAAATTTCCGTTAGTATGAATAAAAACAATGTAAAATTCAATCTATTTTTGAGTCAATCTATTGTTAAGTTGAGACATGGGAGTCTTTTTGAGTCTTATAGTTAGGGATGGATTCGGTTCGGGCCACCCGGCCCGTGACCCGGCCCGGCCCGGTACTGTGTGGGCCCGGGATTATATATCTTATATAAAAGCTTAAAAAAAAATATAAATACTCCTAATCTTAAACATTTTTTCATCTCTTCTCCAATTCTTCCTAAATCCTATTCTTAACTCTCTACTTTCTAATTCTCTTATTCTCCAATATATTATATATCTACTCTCTAATTCTCTTCTCCAAGAAGTTAAGATGGAAAATCAAGATGCCATTATACGGTATAATTTTGATAAGCAGAAGAACCCGAAGACCGGGATGTGGTACGCAATTTGCAAATGGTGCGGAAAAAAATGTATCATGGGGGCTTCAGGCGGATTCGGGATGGCAATCAAGCATATGAAGGCATGTGACAAAGCCAAAGGATCGGGAGGTGCGGGAAGTTCCGATTGATTACAATTTTCAAAATGTTTATCTCTTAAAGTTTGTTTTAATTTTCAAATGTAATTCCTATTTCATTTCAAATAAATGCAATTGAAGTTTGTTTTTAATACTCGTATAAAACTATAAACTATAAAATATAAATTATAAAAAAAAAATTAACCGGCCCGAACCGGACCCGACCCGTGACCCGGGCGGGTGGCCCGGCCCGAACCGGACCCGTCCAACCCTCGGGCCGGTCCCGGGCCCACTTTTCTTGAACCTGCGGCCCGACCGGGCCTAGGCCCGGCCCGGACCCGACCCGGCCCGAATCCATCCCTACTTATAGTAGGAATAAACTATTTTTGAGCAGTTTATTTAATGTAATTTAATGAAAAAATAGAATAAAAACTGATGCTACTTTGAAACAAACGTTTTTGCTTAGTGCCTTTCACTTATTTTAATCCAGTACCGCAAAACTAATCTTATTCTCAGACAATAAATTGACCGGTCTTATCTTGTCTAGAACTCAAAACAGTTTCACCCCTAAACAGAGTGTAGCCTTTTTTGGGATAAACAAAAAGATTAGTTTAATGATTAGGTATGTTTTGAATGGAATAAAAAAGGGAAAGTTCCCGAACTAAAACAATTTTAGAAAATTGTTGCAAACATGACAGTAATTAGTTCTATTTTGGAAATAAAAGCATGGTAATCCTATTTTGGAATTTTCAAACGATTTTAGTCTTATTTTCGGTAATTTTTCTTTTATTATTTATATTTGGGAAAGTTCCGGAAATAGGATTAAAACAGTGGGAGATTTCAACAAGTAAGAGTAAAACGTACTGATTTTCCAAAACTAAGACCGAAGATTAGCGTAAGACTCAACTATACCTGCATTGACCACAATACCCTTACTTTTAGAAAATATAAGACATTAAATAGACAATAAATAGACAATGAGTAGACAATACATAAACAATAAATTCTGATAAAATAATCTATTCAAATCCAAGCTCAAATCCCATATTCAATAGAACTGGATCGGAGGATCCTTGACTACCTTCCCCACCGACTACCGCCACATTAAAGGCTTCGTCATCCACAATTCCACACCTTCACCAGTTCACCCTCATCAACCAAATCCGGCAAAGTCAATTACATCAATTTCCATTGGAAGCCCACCTGTAGCGTCAAGTGGTTGCTTGAGGACGAGACCGAGCCGGAGATGAGGCACAATGGAGAGGAGGCAGCAACACGGCGACGCGGCGACGGTGGAACGGTGAGTTTATTAAGGTGCCACCGACTGCACAACGACGCGGTGGCAAGATAAAGGCGGAAATTTCTGGGAAGTCTCCTCCTTCGTTTTGTTCTTTCTGGGAACTTTTTTAACGGTGCGGAAGAAAAAAGGAGACATGGAGGATGGGGCTTCCTGCGGAAGAAGCTAGGTCGGCGGAAGTTTTTTTGGTTTACTTCATAAAGACTGAAGGGCAAATTTGGAAAGTTAGAAATAGATTTCCTAATCTAGAACTAAATAGGTAATATGGATGGAAAAAATATTAGCATGTATTATTTTTGTAAAAGAACTATGATTTGGTCCAATTGGGAGCAAATTTCTCTAAAACAGTTTCAAAATTCCAAAATAGGACTAATTACTACCATGTTTAGAAAATATTGTTATGTTTGAAGTTTGGTACTGCCAAAATATGGCAATAATTAGTCCTATTTTGGGAATAAAAACATGAGAATCCTATTTTAGAATTTTCAATCTGTTTTAGTCCTATTTTGGGTAATATCTCTTTATATTTCTACTAGGGAAATTTTAATTAGGGCACCACTAAATATTTGGGGATTTTTTAAATGTATAGTGTAGGATATCAGGAAGTATTTGAGTAGCTCTACTCTACTCATCATCTATTTTGAAAAGAATTAACACTGGTTTGTCAGAAGCTGAGAATGGTTGCTGCAAAGGGGCAAAGGGGCGAGCATCGGTTGATAGCCAAATAATCCACCAGTTCTTGCCCCCTACCCACCCGCTCCGATGTATGATCTATTCATATTTAGATACTTCAGCACCACTTCTTTTATCTTGGTAGTTTGATCTTTATTAATGGTGAATTTAAATGTGTGATTAAAAGGCTAAAAGGCAAAATACCGTGGAGATATTGTTTTTGGTTATACTTTCTCTATCTGTTCCTAAATATTTACATTTTTTACTATTTTTGAATCTATTATCTTTTTAGAAGTGTCACAGTAACATCATATGGTGCAATAACACATTAACTAAAATTTCTGAAATTATAAAATCGATCGTATATTCCAAAATAGGACTATCACGTTTTTGTTCCCAGAAGAGAACTAATTACTGACATGTTGTGACAGTATTAGACTTTAAACAGTGCAGTATACATATAAAAACACAGTTTTCATGCAAAAATCATTTGACGACCTTCCTGGTTGATTTTTTGCTCAAATTTTGTATGGATGAATTAAACTTGATGAGAAACATACACACAAAAATTCAGCCAAAAATACCATCCGGAACCACCTCAAATTTACAATACTAAAGTGACGCTTAATATCTTACTAGTATGTTTAAGCAACCAACGATCATATCTAATTACAGATTAGAGGGTCAGAGCATCTTCAATCCATTTATACCTTCTATACATAAAATGATCATGATGTTTACAGCTGAAACATTGTGTCAAACAAAACATTTACATTCCTCGCTTTAAACATACATACAGCCCAGACTCGTAGTTATTCTTGAAAAAGCAATAAATCAATATTTAATTCAAAGTGAGAATCTAGAGTGATTTTCAGTATGGACAGTTTATCACTAAATTCACTATTGTCAAAGGAAAGTAGATTATTAGTACAGTACACAGAAAAATTAGGATTGCTCCTTTGTTCTAAAACACACACACACAAAAACAAAAACAAAAAAAAAAACAAAAAAAACAGGACATGGGAAAAAATTACTTAACACTAAAAAGGCTATAAATGCTATTCCTCGCTCACATGTACAATTATAAAAAAATCATATACCCCATTTTACAGACAAGCTAACCTCATATCAACTGCCAACACCAGTCATATCAACTGCCCCATTTTACAAAAACATTCACATGAAGTAGCTCAAAGACTTCTTCCGTCTCGACCCTCCTTCGCCATACAGCTCATTCCATTGCAAAAGCTCGGTCATGTTTCTGGACTCCGATGTCACACTAGCACAAACCTATACACCGACCCGAACAACACTTCTTAAATATTTTAAAACAAAAATAAAAACCGAGCTTGTGTATTATTATGATAACCAAATGGGATTTCTCACAAGTTTCCCTTACCTGTTCATGAGCATGTCTGAAGTCTTCCATGTTCATTGGTCGACGGCACATAGATGGTTTAGGGGAACTTTCTACCAAGGAAGCAGCTTGCTCCTGCCAAGTCAACATTTTAGATGAGAGTCGCCAAGTAACTAAAACCTTTCCTGTTTTCTATGCATTTCTAAATTTATTGCATATATATCGGCAATTGTTATGAAGCAACATTCAGTCCATGCAATTTTTGACGCGATTTTCACTATGGGTCATACGAAAACAGTCTCTATGTGCTTTAGTACAGGGGTCAGACTGCGTACATCCGACCCCCCTTACCCCACTGTAGTTGGGAGCCTTTGCGGCACTGGGGTAATGATAATGAATGATATATTGGCAATTGTCTCAAATGTTAATACATTTGTGTCTGAACATATATTTGAGGTAACATCACCTCTTGAGGATCCTATTTTGGATGAGTTAAACCCAATTAGTTCAAATTGTTCAGTCTGGTTTGAACCAGATAAGCACCCTATTTAAGTCCTCGAGGTAAAAAAACTTGAGGTTCCGCCACCTTTAATATAAATCAAGGGGTTCAAGCGCAATAATGATAACTTAAATCATGTGAGTGACTAAATTCCTCTATGAACTCATCATGTTTATACTGCAAAACAAGCTGAGAAAATAGGAAGAACATTCATAGGAAATGCATCTAGACAATCAACTCTCTTCTAGTTCAGCTGATAATGATACCCCCCCCCCCCCCCTCGTCCACAAACACCTACTAACTTTTTCAAGCACACTGATAGAGAGCAGGAGCTTGGGTTTACCGAAGGCGGGGACGGGCTGGAGACCACCTTTGTGAGCTGGTTGCAGGCCATTTAATTAATTTTATTTTATAATTTTCCTGATTTGTTTCCTATTTGGAGTTGATTAGGATTTCTATGATTTGTTTCCTATTAGGAGTTAATTAGGATATCTATAATTTGTTTCCTATTTGGAGTTAATCAGGATTTCTAGTATTCTATTTCCTATTTGGAGTTGATTAGAATTCCTATGATTTTGTTTCCTAGTTTAGGAATTAGTAGATGGGTATTTAAATCCCTTGTTAGGATTCATTCTTGGTTATCATTTAATAAAATTGGATTTCAGCCTATTGGCTCTGGGCAACGGTTTATTCTGTTGATTATTAATTTTCTGTTCTCATCATATATTGTCTTGTCCGGAAACACTCTCTTTGTGCTTTAGTACAGGGGTAAGACTGCGTACATCCGACCCCCCCTTACCCCACCGTAGGTGGGGAGCCTTTGCGGCACTAGGGTAAATGAAAATGATGAAATGAAATCATATACTGTCTTGTGAACCAATATTCTAAGTTTCATCTTAAAATTTGGTAACCTAAACTTTCATGGTTGGCTAAAGTTGGATAAAATGAAACTATAAGAGTAATATTTGATTCCAAAAATAATTGATAATGATATAGCATACTTTTTTCTCTTTTTCTATAATCTCTCTGATTGGACGATATGCAGCTGTCATACATAAATTCTGCGATAATAAAAATGGTGACACAACATTAGTTAAAAGGAGCTCAATTCATAATACAAATAAATACTATGTACTATATACCAAAATCACCTGAAGGTCACTTCCAGAATACCCATCAGTCATAACAGCAACAGAGTCCAAATCAACATCTGGTGACAAGTCTTCTTTTGCCAGAATCACTTTAAGGATATTTGCTCTGTTAGGGGCATCTGGCAAACCAACCATCAATCTGAGGAATAACCATAGATGAATGAAAGAAACATCAGAAGCATTAAAATTCAAAGTTTCCAACTTCAAACCCAACTTGCTTTTTTGCTTCCTTACCTACGTGGCATCCGCCTTATAACTGCTTCATCAAGATCAAAAGGCCTGTTTGTAGCTGCGAGTACAAGAACGCGCTCTGTATCCTTTGTTCGCAATCCATCCCAATTAATCATAAACTCATTTTTCATTTTGCGCATGGCCTCATGTTCTCCTGGATTTTCCCTACGGCCCAGCATGCTATCAACCTTAAGGACCACCATAATAATTATAAATACAAAAAACAATGGTAAGAAAATTAATCAGTCAGGATAAAATCTATTGGAGAGAGTAATCTGTAGAGCATTACAGCAAGTATCAGAGGCATACTTCATCAACAAAAATTACACTAGGGGCAATTTTACTAGCCAGCGAGAAGACAGCCTTGACGTATTTCTCACCCTCGCCAAACCACTGCAGCACAAATAAATAAGGTCAGAGTTTGTAATGGAATCCTAAATTTATGCAAATGTTTATCAGAGAAAAAAAAATACAAGTCAGGTAGGCTAACCTTTGAAGTGATGCTTGACATGCAAATATTGATGAAGTTTGCACCAGCTTCTGTGGCAACAGCCTTAGCAAGCATCGTTTTCCCAGTTCCAGGAGGGCCAAATAGAAGTATTCCCTTACAAGGCTACAAAACAAAATTAAAAAATTAAAAATACAGCACTGAAACTTCTTACAACTGTAACTTCTAATAAAGAAAGTGTGGCAACAAAAGCAATGATACAATCACGGTTTAAATAAACTGGCAGGAAAAATCCAAAATTGAAAAAGAACTGGTTGCGGGCCAGCTTGCGGCATACCTAAAGAGCTTAAAATCATGATGTAAAAAGGGGAATTGACATTATACCTCATATTTTGGGTGATATTGAACTTCGCACCCATTTTTCAGAAAATTTAATGTATTCACCCTATCAGGAACGGGGTGCAAACATTAATTTTTTTAGTCAGATGGGGTGTACACATTGTTCTAAAAACCAGCCTAGGCACTAGGCGATTTCCAGATGCCCCTATTTCATTGTACTGCGTTAGAAAAATCAGTCTATCAATTAGGAGGGCTACATGGACACCAAGGCGGCTCTGAATAGATTGGTTCCCAGTCCCAATTGTCTTCTCCGCTTTGTCCTAAGAAATAACATGTTTGATAAAAAATTATTCTATTCCTATTAAATGCATTTTAATATTCCTACAATATGAGATTTAAAATAAGTTTTAAATCTACAAAAAACAAAAACCTACTATTTGATTTAAAATTTTCAAATAAATTATTTTTATTATTTAAAAGTTACCGCAAAAACATAACATTTAAGAATTATATGAGCTATTTTTATTATCAAAATATTATAGTCATTATAACTATGTAGTAAATTAATCCCCATTAGAAATAAAATAAAATAAAAAATAAAGAGGAAGACCTGGAAGTTCTGGGTAGCGCTTAGGCAGGAAAGGCCGAAAGGCGCTAAATGGCATTGCCACGCTCGACTAGCTGTCTTTTGGAAAATTGGGTGTACACATTAACTTATTTCAAAATGAGGTGCAGTTCCAGTTTCGCACACAATACAGGGTGCAAAGTCAAATTCTCCCTTTAAAAAACCTAGTTGCCTCAGTCATATCAAAGAAGTGCAATTAGAAGGGAGATTTTCGAACTAGGCATCTATTTGGGTCTACAATGGAGCAAAACCTTTATAGAATCTATCTAATTGTCGTTTTTCATTGTTTAGTAATAATCTTCTACTTTTCTTGAAAAAACTACTAACACTGAAGATTATCACCATTAAGCCTTGTAGCTGAAACTAAACAATATCAAACCTTGGTCAATTGCCCCTTGCAGAAAAGCTCTGGCCTCTGTAAGGGAAGCATCACCAACTCTTGCAGTGTCTCTTTGACATTTTCCAGTGCACCAATATCGTCAAATGTGACTCCTATATCATCTGAAGCAATGACATCTGCTAGAAGTCTCCTCTCAAAATCATTCTCAGGCACAATATCCTGGATCAGTTGGGGAAAATATGTTGAGTTCGTGAACGAAATAGAAAATTCTTTCGAAATCGTTAAATAAAGGGCTTCGAGGATCATCATCATTATCCCAATGCTGCAAAGGCTCCCTCCCACCTACGGTGGGGTAAGGGGGGTCGGATGTATGCAGTCTTACCCCTGTACTAAAGCACAAAGAGACTGTTTCAGGATGACCCATAGTGAAAATCGCGTCGGAAATTGCATGGACTGACCGATGCTTCACAATAAAGAAGTGCAGACAGTTTAGTGAGTCATTTTGCTTTATTCCACCATATTCCCAAGCCAAAAAATAGTGAGGCTTTATTCCATCATATTCACAATTTAGTGAGCCATTTTGCTTCGAGGATAAATACAAATTTTCATTGACTATATCAAATAGTACTAAAGCACCTTAAGTGATTTCTTCAGGCTATTGGATTCATTTTGTGCATCTCGCAACATGTCAATCCCGTACTGGATGCTGTTACATTACACAACAGTGACATTCTTTAAACCCATATGGAAAGGAAACAAAAAAGGGAGGGTTGTTGCTAAGTAAGTTAGTTACTTCTCACGAGACAAAGCAATCACTTCATCAGAATCTGCTCGAGGGTTTTGCATCAAATGATGACTCAATGCCCACCCAATGGCCTTCTCTGCACCTTCAAAGTTCAAACACACCAAATTACTATTACATTAAAGACCACACATTGAGAGCCAACACACGATAAAAAGATGCAATTTTGCTCTCCTTTATTGAGACAATAATATACCCGACAGCAGGGGCTTTAACTGGACTGAAACCAGTGTTGAATAAAATTTTCAAATGTATGAGCATGTCTTATTCCAGATAAGACCAAAAGACAAGGAAAATTGTGTGAAGTAAAATTATGTGTGTACTCTCAATTGAAAATTCTGGGTCCTTGATACACAATGCCTCCATTCTATCACATTCTAATCCATTTCGGCTCAGAACCTATACATAAGAGAGAAACCATCATTTAGGAAATAATCAACCAGGAAACTTTGATGCTCTAAATATCCTAATTCTTCACTCAGAAAGAACACTATTGTACAGCCGCTAGTGAAACTTTTTACTTGCAGCAGTTCTAGAAAGTTGATGAAAAAACAACCACAATATGAAAGTCATGCTTCTATGCTACATCTAACTGAACAGGATATCAAAGCCATATAGGCATCAAAGTCTGACTTGGGCTTGTAACGAATAGCCAGTTTGGTCCTATTTTAGTGGTCACAACTCACAACTTATAACATGGCATAAAGAGGGCACATAAAAATGCTCATATTCTTAGAAACATAAATTAGCAAGATAATATATGTAAAGCTCAATAAAGTGTACGTGTACCCACAGTTCTTAAACTATTCAAATTTCTTTTAGTTTTCAGAGTTTCAGCATCTCGCTCCAATTGTTGCTTCCAACTAGCTTGTAGTGCTTCATCCTACAATCAGGATACATATCACTACTTCATCCAAAAAAAGGATCCATATCACTATATCAGGGTAAAAGCGAAGAAAAAAGAAAACTATATAAAACAATTTGAAACAAACCTGTGGCATGTGAATAACAACTTTATTGGGAAAAAGTTTTGTGAAAAGTTTTGCTGTCTTGGTAACTTCCCGTCCCCTGTCACTCAACCTTCCAATAGTACCCTGAAGGTATTGAAGTTTGATGATCATGCATTGCAATTGAGCGTATAAAAGGAATGTTAATTTCACTGAATGGTTAAAATACACATGAAAGTACAAACCTGCTTAGAATGATAAAGAACGTACCTGGAAAGACAAATCAAGCAAAGCAGTCTGGTTGCTTCCAAATTTTGTAAAAAGCAATCCACCAGCATGTGGCTGTGTAGTGCAGAAGAGAAATGCATACTTATGTATTACATCAACGTAAGAACTCATGATGTGTTTTCAACTAGACACATAGCTCAAGGGGCTGCAATTATTTACATCATTCAGTTATCGTCTCATTTTTTACCTAAAAGGCACTGTTTAAATTATAAATTTGCCTAGGCATAGTTTCTTCAGTGGTACATTTTACAGCCTTTTAGTGAAACTACCAAGTAACAACACTTGTTGAATGATCAAACAATATTGTTCTTACAGACAGATGCACACTTCAGGAGATGCTTAAGCTAATACTCTATATTTTAGAAGCTTTGGTCATTAGAAAGTAGAAAGTAGAAACTTTCACACCATGATTACAAGCATGAAGCATGGCCAAATAAATATATGCATACTCCACTACCGTGAAATTCTATGATCTTACGGTAAAAATTACCTTTTCTTTCTTGGTGTCAGTGTGGGCATGCGAGCCTATAACTACAACGTTATCAGGAAGCCTCTCAATTCTGCTTTTTAATGTTGACAAGTCGGCATTTCCTGCCATTGTGTTTTCAGCATCTTTGATGAACAAAATAAAAGGGGAATTTCTGCTCTCATCAAATACAACCTGTATGATAGAATAAAATTTGTGATCACCAGTTGTCTCCGAAACAAAGATATTTCCATTAAATGTGTTTCTCTATATTTGGATTGAAAAAAATTTGAACAAAGTAGTAACATACTGAAAAGAAAACGTTGATTTCAGATACAATGCATTTAGGAAAGGGATTTCATTCAGACATGTTCTTCGACAAGGTAATAGGACGGCCCGCTCCCTTGCTAAGCTTCAAGCGACCCATTTACACACTTGGACTGAGAAGCAATCTTTACCGGCCCAGGTCAAAATAGCTTTCTACCAGGATTTCTTTAATATTCCTAGCTTTCGGAGCTTATGTTAATTCTCTTTTTATTTTTTCGTGGTGTATTTTATTAATTGGGTTTGGTCTGGTCCCCCTTATTAATCTCTTTTATTTATTTATTGTTTTCATTTCTGTATTTTGGAGAAGGAATGCCTTCTCTGAGAGGTTTTGGTATAGTCTCCCTCTCACTTTTGTATCCCCATTTTTTCTAATAAAATCTGGTAAATGTTCCCCGTCATTTACCCAACCGATTATGGTGGTTTGTCTACCGGGTTATAAAAAAACTGAAAAGAAAACAACTGAAATCAAATTTTTTAAGATTTTAATAGTGTAGAAAATTTAATACGGAAGTTAAAACACCGGCATATTTTGGTCATTAGGAAGCATTTAGTAATATTATTTTCAGATTCTGTTGAATAAGAAAAAACTGTGCTGGGTAATGTTTTTGTCATTTTTAAAAAGGACTGTTGTATAATTTCCCAATAGATTTGCCTAATTTGAAGAAAGAATATCAAGGATGAAGAATGCCATTTTGTTTTCTTCTTTTTCTACTCGCTTAACTACTCCCTCGGTATCATATTAGTTGCAACATTGAAACTCACACACTATTCATGTACACTACTTTGACTATGTAGAAAAATGTAGCATATACATGTTATTTTATTATGTGTACATCCGGAACTGTATAGATAGGAATTAGAGTTGATTTAGGTCTCTAATTCTTAGATTAGCTCGCAGAGTAGATAAGAATAGATAGATCCTAATATTTAGGATCTGTAACAACTTTAGTTTATCTGTAAACTTGTATATATATCATTGTCGGATGGCTCAATAAAATACAAGGAAGATTAATTCTTCAAACCTACATGGTATCAGAGACTTGTTGTTTAAAACACCATAATGGTGGACACTGAACACTCTGATTCCTCCACCCACTCACAAACCCATCATCATAACCCCCAAATTAGCCAAATGACAAATTACCAGGCCTCGGTTAATTCATCTATGCTCATTACTGGACATAGATTGAATGGAACCAACTACCTAGAGTGGTCACAGTCTGTCAAACTGGCAATAGATGGAAGAGGAAAATTGGGATACATAACGGGTGAAGTAGAGGAGAAGAAGAATGGTGAAGATGGCTACAATGTCTGGAGGTCAGAGAACTCTTTGGTAACAGCCTGGCTTCTCAGTTCAATGGATGCATCAATTGCCAAACCTCACATGTTCATGCAAAAGAGGTATGGGATTCAATCAAAGAAACCTACTCAGATCTTGAGAATTCTTCTCAGATCTATGAATTAAAAACTAGGTTGTGGCAGTCCAAACAAGGAAATAGAGATGTCTTCTCATACTATAATGAGATGGTATCTCTATGGCAAGAATTGGATCAATGCTATGATGCTGAAGACTGGGAAAGTGCCAAGGATCTGGGAAGACACAAGAAGAGAGAGGAAAATGACAGAGTCTATATGTTCCTAGCAGGAATGAATAGAGACCTAGATGAAGTAAAAGGCAGAATACTGGGGAAGAAACCCTTGGCCTCAATCAGAGAGGTCTTCTCTGAGATCAGGTTGGAAGATAGCAGGAGGAGGGTCATGTACAACACTCCAGTACCTAATGAGGAACCTGGGGAATCTTCAGCTTTGGTGGCCAGAAGTGATGACAACAAGAAAAAACCTTGGTGTGATCACTGCAAGAAACTGTGGCACACAAGGGATACATGCTGGAAACTTCATGGAAAACCACCAGGAGCTGGAAAGAAGAAAGTAGAAAGGGCCCTACAAACTACTGTGACTGAGACTCAACAAGAGGCGGGAGTTGAATCTAAACAGCTACCATTCACTCAGGAACAGATAGAGTACCTACTCAAATTCATACCCACCCAGAAAATCTCCAACCAAGAAAACCCTACCTGTTCTTTTGCCCAAAATGGTAAAATAACATCATATTTTTGTTCTGAAAAACCTAAAAACACCTGGGTCATTGACTCAGGTGCAACAGACCACATGACCTACATTCCAAAGTTTTTTTCTTATCAACCTTGTGCAGGAGATAAGAAAGTTAGAGTTGCAGATGGCTCTTTTTCAGCCATAGCAGGGATGGGAAATATTAAAATTTCCTCATCCATTAACCTTTCCAAAGTCTTACATGTTCCAAAACTTTCCTGCAATCTTATCTCTATTAGCAAAATTACTAAAGATCTTCAGTGTTGTGTAAAAAATTTTCCCTCTTATTGCATTTTTCAAGATCTGGCATCAGGGAAGATGATTGGCAGTGCTAGAGAGGAAGATGGCCTCTATACTTTTGATGAAGGAACACAATTGAATAAACAAGGTCAAGAAAAAACTTGTTTGCAAACTATTTTCTTTCCTTGTAATAATGAAGTGTATTTAATGCACTATAGATTAGGTCACCCAAGTTTTTCTTATCTGAAAATGTTGTTTCCTAAGTTATTTCTTAATAAAAATCCTTCATCATTTCATTGTGATATGTGTGCACTTGCCAAACATCATAAGAGTTCTTACATCCCTCATAGTTACAAGCCAACTAGTCCTTTTACTATTGTACACAGTGATATCTGGGGTGCATCTAGAGTTTCAACTCTGAAAGGAAAAAAGTGGTTTGTAACTATCATAGATGATCACACACGGGTCACATGGGTGTTTTTACTTAAAGAAAAATCTGAGATTGAAGAAGTGTTCAAAAAATTTTACTCAATGATCCAAACTCAATTCAACACTAATATCAAAATTGTGAGAAGTGAAAATGGTCTTGAGTACTTTTCTAAGAAGTTAAATAATTTTTTTGCTGAAAAAGGGATTATTCATCAAAGTTCCTGTGTAAATACACCTGCTCAGAATGGAATAGCTGAGAGGAAAAATAGACATTTACTTGAAGTCACTCGTGCAATTATGTTTTCTGCTAAAATTCCAAAATATTTATGGGGAGAAGCTGTTTTACATGCTACCTATCTAATTAATAGGATGCCATCAAAAACTCTAGGATTCAAAACTCCTATTGATACTCTTCAAGCCAGTTTTCCTGAAACTAGACTCATTAATTCTCTTCCCATAAAAATTTTTGGCTGCACAGTTTTTATTACCAATCCTGACAGAACTACAAGCAAATTTGACCCTAGAGGGAAAAAATGTGTTTTCTTAGGACTATCTTCAACTCAGAAAGGCTATAAATGTTTTGACCCTATAACAAAAAAGATGTTTATAACTATGAACACTGTTTTTGTAGAAGATCAACCTTTTTTTGGTACTCATCTTCAGGGGGAGATTCCTAATGAAGATGGTAATAATGTGTCACATATCCATGAAAAACTAGAATCTCTTGACATTAATCTAGATGCACAATATAATAGACAGTTAGATGCACTAGAAAATAGTCAAGAGTCAAAAGAAAATGAAAAAAATCTTTCTAAAACAAGGAAAGATGATGAACAGCAGACAAGTAAGTTTTTTGGCAAGGTTTATGAAAGGAGAGTTCCAAATCACAGAATAGAGGACATCCCTGATCCTGCCACTGTCCATGAATCTGACTCAATGCCAGAAAATGCAAAGGTAATAATTTCAGTGATCTAAATCTACCCATTGCTCTCAGAAAAGAAAAAAGGTCATGTGTTAAATACCCTATCTCAAACTATCTGTCCTATTCTCAGTTATCTACATCATTTGCAGCCTTTACCTCTAGCCTTTCTACTGTTTCTATTCCCTTAACCATACAGGAAGCCCTATCTATACCTGAGTGGAAGAAGGCTGTTTTAGAGGAAATGAATGCCCTTGAAAAGAATCAGACATGGCAGACTGTAGAAGTACCCAAAAACAAACCAAGGGTGGGATGCAAATGGGTATTTACTCCTAAATTCAAGGCAGATGGTACACTTGAAAGATATAAGGCCAGATTGGTTGCCAAAGGATACACACAAACCTATGGCATAGATTATACAGAAACTTTTGCTCCAGTTGCAAAATTAAATACTATAAGGATCCTACTATCTCTAGCTACTAACCTAGACTGGCCTCTTCAACAGTTAGATGTGAAGAATGCTTTCCTAAATGGGAAGCTTGAAGAGGAAGTATACATGAGCCCCCTCCTGGGTTTGAGGAGCAATATGGCTCAAAGGTGTGCAAGCTGGAGAAAGCCTTATATGGACTTAAACAGTCCCCAAGGGCTTGGTTTGAAAGGTTTACTCAATTCATAAAGAAGCAGGGATTCAAGCAAGCCCAAGCAGACCATACACTATTCATGAAATTCTCCATTAAGGGAGAAATTGCAGTACTAATTGTTTATGTGGATGATATAATTCTTACAGGAAACTATTGTGAAGAGATTGAAGACCTGAAGAAGAAGCTTGCTCAGGAATTTGAAATCAAAGACCCGGGAGAATTAAAGTATTTTCTTGGCATGGAGATAGCCAGATCAAAGAAGGGAATTGTGGTATCCCTGAGGAAGTATGTACTAGACCTACTTCATGAAACGGGTATGAGTGCCTGCAGACCAATAGATATTCCAATTGACCCTAATCAAAAGTTAGGAAATGTCAAGGAAGGAGTACCAGTTAATATTCACCAATATCAAAGATTGGTGGGAAGGTTGATTTATCTGGCACATACAAGGCCAGATATTGCCTTTGCAGTCAGTATGGTTAGTCAGTTCATGCATAATCCATTCCAGGAACATCTAGATGCTACCTACAGGATCCTAAGATATTTGAAAAGCTGTCCAGGGAAAGGATTATTTTTTAAAAGAAGTGACAATAGAAGTGTAGAAGCCTTTACAGATGCAGATTATGCTGGTTCAATAACTGATAGAAGGTCTACATCTGGGTATTGTACTTATGTATGGGGGAATCTGGTGACTTGGAGGAGTAAGAAGCAGAATGTTGTTGCCAGAAGTAGTGCAGAATCTGAATTTAGATCTATGGCTAATGGAATCTGTGAACTACTTTGGATCAAGAGAATGATGACAGAGTTGAATATGGAAATGGACCTACCTATGAAGTTATATTATGACAATAAAGCAGCCATTAATATTGCTCACAATCCTGTGCTACATGATCGTACTAAACACATTGAGGTGGACAGGCATTTTATCAAAGAGAAGATTGAAGCTGGAATTGTGTGCACACCATTCATATCTACTAAAGAACAAACAGCTGATATCTTTACAAGGGGCTGTTTAAACCAGTGTTTGAATTTCTTATAAGCAAGTTGGGAATGTATGATATATACTTACCAACTTGAGGGGGAGTGTAGAAAAATGTAGCATATACATGTTATTTTATTATGTGTACATCCGGAACTGTATAGATAGGAATTAGAGTTGATTTAGGTCTCTAATTCTTAGATTAGCTCGCAGAGTAGATAAGAATAGATAGATCCTAATATTTAGGATCTGTAACAACTTTAGTTTATCTGTAAACTTGTATATATATCATTGTCGGACGGCTCAATAAAATACAAGGAAGATTAATTCTTCAAACCTACAGACTACATTTTATTTATTAATATATGTGAATTTTTTTTTTGAAAAATATTGTTGAATTCATCTCATTACAAAGTTTCATAATTTGATTTTTAATTTTTTTTAACTAATGGGGAATTAAATATAATGATTGTCAAAGTTGTGCATTGGTAAGCGTGAAAAAGGGAATGTTGCAACTAAAAAAGAACAAAGGATAGTATAGCATATCAACTATGAATAATCATTTTACTTACCCGTCAAATGGCCCCTACCACTTTCAAATTGTTAGAAGTTAGAACAGAGTGGGTGGCTCCACCTTATGGAGGCATTGGTTACCGTACGAAAACGGCAGAAAAGTGTGTTTTTCTATTTATGTATATATGCTCTTTTAAACACGTACAACAAAAAGACAACTCAGTGTTCATCATTAAAATTGTACTACCCCGTCCCGTTGAGAGGTTCCCATGGCAAAACGGCACGGTTAATTAGACAATAATTAAATAAGGTAGTTCGAGTATATTTTGAGAAATAAATTTAATAGGTATATAATATAATGAGGTTAGTGTTGATAACTGTGATGTTATAAATGTATTATTTTTAATATTGAATGATTAATTTGTCATTTAAAATTGTTAATTGTTTCCTAAAATGGAAATGGGAACCTTTATATGGGACATCCAAAAAAGGAAAGTGAGAACCTTTCTATGGGACGGAGGGAGTAATAGATAAAAACTACGAACCTCAAATAATGTGTC